TATATTCAAAATAAGCATAGAATGGTGGAATATAGGTTAGGTTTTTAGATAAAAAAAAAATTTTTTTTTTCTTCTTTTTATATATATACTTCACCTATTTATGTAGAATTATACTTTGTGGAGTTAGGGATATTAATATAAGGTTACTTTTAGATGAATAGTATCCTGGGATTAGGTTTGGGAAGTCCGGGTGGGGGGTGGGGAGGGGGTTTTCCAATTGTGATGTACTTGTGTTTGCTTTTTTCTTATGTTGAAAATAATAAAAAAAAATTTTGAAAATTATTTATGTTCTTATTTCATGTACTTTGATGTCTTAGAAAGGCATAGTGGTGCAATAGAGAATACTACCGTTTCTTGTAAATTTATGTTGTATTTACTGAATATGGTCAGACTCTGGTATTAATATATCGGGATGTGTTGCGTTCATCACGACAACATTCTGTTCATAATATACTGTATGAAACCCTGACAAGTGAGTCTTAATTAGTTTGTTCTTAATTTATTGGCATCCTGTCAAGACAAATAATAAAAATATTAGTAGAGAGTAAGTATGCATTGCAGATTATTTTTCTTTAGGTTGACATTTCTTACAATACTCTTGTGTGCAATTCATTTGCTTTTATAGAGTACTGCTATTGCAAGTACTTATGGCTATAATTACATACCTTGGGGTCTTCAGGTGACCAGAACAGGTATGAATATTAATTAAGGTATATTACACCAAAAACTGTCAGACCGCCCATTCAAGATATGTTAATCTAGATATGAAAGTTAGTTCTCACACAGTCTGAAAAATACCATCATAGTCAAAATAAAGGTAATAATAACAAAAGACTGGTGGAAACAGCCCAGCTGACTAAAAAGAGGAAGCCAAATATAGGTAGTCCTCGACTTATGACCACAATTACGCTCAAAATTTCCATTGCTAAGAAAGACAGTCGTTGACTGAATTTTGCCCCATTTGACAACCTTTTTGCCGTAATTGTTAAGTGAATTACTGTCCTGCCATTCGGTTAGGGAGAGGGAGGTTGGCATTCTTGGGATGCTTTTGCTTTTGCTATACGCCTGGGAATTAGAGAGGGGGAATTGTTCTCGGAGACAGGGCAGAGTCTCAACTGGTTCCAGCTTGGTTCCAAGGCCATCATGCCCTGAGAGTAACCTGTTATCTGCCCAGCACCTCAGCATTCTCAAAACATCTTCTCAGCATCACATTGGCTAGCGGTGGACTGGTCAGGGAAATTGGGATTGGGGAAATGAAAGGATGTTGCTTTCCTGAGGGACTAGCTGGGGCAGATATTTACAATTACTGCAGTTGTTAAGTGACTCATGAGGTCGTTAAGCAAATCTGGCTTTCCTCATTGACTTTGCTTGTCAGAAGCAGGCTGAGAAGGCTACAAATGGTGATCACAAGGCAGTACAGCTGTCATAAATACATGACAGTTGCCGAGTGCCCAAATTTTGATTACGTGACCATGAGAATGCTGCAGCAGTCATAAGTGTAAAAACCAGTCATAGTGCCATTGTAACTTTGAACAGTCATTAAACGAATTGTTGTAAGGTGAGGATTGCTGTATTGAAAAATAATTTACCACATTCTGGGACACAAAAAAACAATGGAGTGATAATAGCTGTCTTCCATTACTGAGCATGAACCCAGGCTGTGATTTAGCATAAAGCAGTTCAGTATGTTCTTCTCTTAAGTGGCTCTAAATTATATTATAACCATTTAACTCTCAGCAAGATGCACAAATAATTCACTTTTACTGTTAATAGAAATGAATAGACTGCGGAAATTCCTGGTTTGAGAAAAGTACCCAGGGAAGCAAGTCATTCTGTCAGGGTTCTTTATTTAATTATTTTAGAACAGTTAGTAGAGTGAAAGTCTTGCAACCCGACACGAGGTTAATTGAACCTGCTGTTTCAGAGGGTGAAGAAAGGATAACTATTTAAGAGCAAGCTCAGACACAATGTCAAAGCCAGGTGGAATAATTTACTTGATTGCACGTCTTCAGGAAGATGGTCGCATTCAGAGAAGCCGGTGAATAGCTGGTTTCGGCCCAGTCCTTCATAGTAGCATTTGCAATCATGGGCTACGTTAGTGAATGGCCTAAACGGTTTTTGAAAATATTTATACAGGTATTTAGTCAATATCAGGTAAGGGAATCAGATACTGTAATGGTTCCGGGATGAATGGCAGAGGGAAGATCTTCAGCATCTCCTATTTATGAACAAAATTATAATGAAATTATTCATTTTTCAGGTTGACCTCTTAATCGATAATGAAGCAGAGAAAGATTACCTGTATGATGTGCTGCGGATGTATCACCAGTAAGTCTTTGTGTTATAGTTACTGCTTTTATTTTTGTGATGTCTTTGCACATGGCTGGAGATAAATAGGAAAAATCCCTCTATTTTAACTGATAATAAACTAGTAGAATATAAAAAAATATTTAATAGGAACATCAAACACCTCTTGAACAATTGTTTTATTAAATAAAAGGCAAATGGTAATTTGGAAAAAGATAATCAATTTGTTAATTTATTGTATATACTTTTCAGTAGTTCTAAATGTATTCAATTTATGCATTTACAACAGTCACCAATATATTTCGATAGGAATTGTGGCTCTGTGAAAACATACAAATGCCTTATTAGCATGAGCTCATGTGCTCAGAGCTAATTTTATTGGATCTATGGAATGGTGTTTTGAAGTAGTAGATCTATATGGACGTGGAAATGTAGCAGTACAAGAAGGGTTTCAAATAGTGTGAGCATTGAAATCAAAGGCATTAAATGAAAAATGTAAAATGATTATGCTGATGGTTTTTCGATGTATACATATACATGCATACACAAACAATAATTTTACCCTTAAAGTGCCATATAACTTAAATAATAGTGCCGCAGATCCTCTGCAGCAAGAAAATATCCATTCCATTTTTGCTCTGTTTCCTTGTTTTCTCAACACAAATAAGATACAATTATAGTTTCATTTTCTACTCATTCATAATTGAAGTAGGTGTGAGCCAATTTTATTTTGCATAGAATAAGTGAAAATATGTCTCCAGACTTCAAAGGCAAAACAGTTTATGAACATATCTTAATTTGTACCATCTCAACAGAATGATATTTGGCTGTTTTCTTTGTGATATTTCTCCAAAGATAGTAGCTTGGCATGGTTTGGGCTACTAACTCATTTTGATTTCCCTTGAGACTGTGTAATTGTTTCTCCATTCATAAAGGCTGGTCTGCAGCTGTTTAGAAAAGAAAGAATTCTGATGAGTTAATTATTTAAAATGTGAGTGGCAGGTACAAACATCTTTACTTTGCCCAATACTTATCTACCCTAGGCTGGGAAACGTTATTGATAATTAAATAAATGTATACTATCACAAAAGGGTACATTTTAGAGAATTCACTCTTTCTCCAAGAGGCTGTACTTTGCTCTCTGCAGAGAAACTTAAGTGTTTGTAACTCCTTTGACAATATTAGTTCTCATTTATTTTTGCTTCTAGCCTTATCCTATTCTGTTCTTCTTTGCCAAGGCTTTTGAAACTAATGCTTTTATTACCTATATCAGTATTGGATCGATATTGGATTCTGTCTTAATTTATGTTTTACATAAGGGATACTTAAAGACATAATTCCAATGGAACTTAGATTTCCACCCCATGATGGACTCTAATCCTCACAAA